CACCACAGTTTGGAGTTATATATGGATTTTATGGGACACGCACTGCCTGATCACTTGTTTGTTGAATTCTTCACATAATTGTGTGCAGGAAAAAGCAGTCAGAGTTAAATATCAAGACACAGATCCCACTGCACAGGGCAAATGGAACATTCCTACGATGAATCAAACAGATTTAAACATAAACTACAAACTACAGTAGGAGCATGCAAGATATAAGTATGGAGCGGTTTGGTCTGCATGACTGAGTTTCCCAATTTCTATCCTGTAAGATTAGTCATGTTTTTGTGTGTTTGTGTGTGTGGTCAGTGAACTCCCTGAAGAAGTGGCCTTGTGTGACTCATCTTGCCTGAGGATGCATGGCCCCAAAAATAAAACAACATAATGTGACCTAATTGCAGTTTAAAAGTCTGGATTGTATGCATGAAAGGAGGGTGTGTTAAACTTTCAACAGTTGAATGTGAAAAACTTGGATGGGAAATAAAAATACCCTTGACGTGGCTCTGCAGTGAAAGTGCAACACATAACAGTGCACATCAGTTAATGGAGCTGTGGAAAATAAGCCTTGCTTTCATGGTCAGTCTGTATTTTTCCATAGGAGTGTGATATTAAATTGTGAAGCAACTGTGAAAGCATTCCTTGCATCACGTCAGTCATACTGTGGTGAGAACTCAGTCTAATTTTCTCTTAAGGGGGGGCTGGCACACGGGGTTGTGAAACACCAAGAACCCAAGACTGGATCTTGTTGTTTCAGGGGACAATGAAAGGAAAGGATAGCTGTCAGACAGGAACACAAATATAGAGGCACAAGAAACTTTCCCTTTCGGGAAGTGTTTGATCTACATTTGTCAGTGAACAACAGAGATAGCGTTGGTTAAACCATTTTCACTGATAAGCAGCAAGTCTGCAGTGCATCAGTCTCATTTCTGTGGGTCTCCTTCTTTTATTTATGAGGGGTTGTATGATGTACTGATCACAAAACCCTCAGAAACAAATTTATGATTTTAGGCTGTAGAAAAACTTGAGTTGACCTGTCTTGTATAACTCAGTAGATACAGAATAGCAGTGGCGGACTTAGGCTGTCTGAGGAGTAGGGTTGAAAAAAATAAAAAGAGCACCAGCCGCATGTGAGAGGCACATGAATGTCTTGTAGCATGCAAGGCAACATAACATTGAATCATGTTTTCTCAGTTTGGCCACCCTGTTTGGTCTTTATTTTATCTACTGCCCAAGCCACTTTTGCCGCATTTTTTTTCAAATGGGGGGAACAAAGGGTGGGGAAGGGGCTTATAACAAAAATGTTATAAGCAGGCTGCCTTGTTGTTACGTGTTTGAAACGACAAGCAGAGAACCAGGGACCACCCAATTAGGACAGCGTATCCTTATACAATGGTTTGTATGATATTCTACGAAAATGCGCACACAACCGATCGTATGACATAATTAGTGTAACACAAAAGACGTTACGTCCTTAACGTTAAGTTTTCTAATTAAGGTAAAGTTATGGAAAAGAAACACAGTGAGGACATTCCATAAAATGCCTCAAAGTTCATGTGGTTCTGAACACTGGTTTCCTGGGAAAAATCTCAGGGGTAAGTCCTGTGTTTTGTGACCGTGACCTCCCTCCTAACTGGACCACTTGGGGCAGCTTGTGTCTTTACTGCCATCAGTCCAAAATACGAGGATTATGCACGAATTACTGGTACATGATTACGCAGGATATGTATGAATTTTGGGGCATTACTTTTTATAGGAAAATGTATGAATAGTACATGAGAAAAGCACATTTATCTAGTCACAATTCATTCTACAATAGAGTACCTCACCAGTTCGAAGCAGCCACTTTACCCTTGAAAGGAGAGAAAGCATTGGCGGCCAGGTCAGTGGAGCAGTGCATCCTGGTGGAAAGGCGCCATTAGGTTTGACACAGATGTCTAAAGGCCCAAAATTCTACAGCCATGCTTGTAACCCTGTGAGCTAAATGCTAACGTCAATAACAAGACTGATGTTTAGCAGCTATCATGCTCACCATGTTCACCATCCTAGTTTGCTGTGTTATCATGCTTACATTTGCTAATTAGCACTTAACACAAGCTGGAGGATGGGGATGTATTTAGTTCTGCAGGTATTTGGTCATAAACCAAATAGTTTTGACTAGATGATAAAAAGTTTAGGGGATCAACAAACTTGTTTCGATTCATCCCGAAGGGAACATGAATGTCTGAACCCAAATGAATCCATCCAATAGTTTTGGAGACATTTCAGTCCAGCCACAAATATCAGCCTCATGGTGGCGCTAAAGGAAAAGTCACAGGGTCACCAGATAATTATAAAACACCCTCAAGAATATGAATGTCTGAATATAATTTCATGGTAATCCAACATCACCATCCCTAAGGCCATGCAACCTAGCGTTGCCAGAAAATCATACATATGCTACTGCTGTGTGTGATACATAAACGCTCCCTTTTATTGACTGCATGTTTTTGCAGCAACTCAGAATTTATAAATGTAGAGCGATTGCATTACAATCACATGTAGTTAAATCAAATTT